GTTGTGTTTTTCCTTGTGTGCTTTTCATATAGATGTTTTATTTTCTCACTGTACAACTTGTGGATGTTTTAGGTGAGGAAGATCCGGTTATGAGTGACATCTAGAATGCCAACGGTTGAATTGTGGGTATACTCTGATATTGTGACATTGGGGCAAAGGATTTCTAGGACATGAAATTTTTATATGGATTTGGAGCTGTATTTATTATTTTTTTAAAAAAATTGTAAACTCTCTTATGTTTCATTTTCTAATTTATTTATTTTCAATCATTTTGAATATTGAAAAATATTTGTGAAAGTTTTTATGTGAATCCTTTTACCAACGCTAAAAGATTTATTCTTTAACTGATTTACATTGTTACAATATATGTGTTGGGGTAGTAAGGATGTTACAAATTTCTTTTATACATATCTTTTTTCTTTTATTTCACCCTTAAGCTATGATGGTAGAAAAAGAATAATATATAATTAAGGTATATAAATATTTAAAAAATATGAAAACTCAAAGGAGGTATCTTTTCTATATGTACTATAGATTAATCATATATATTAAAGGTAATATATACATATTAAGGTATAATTTAATTCATGTTACTAATATTTTTTTAATAATATCTAAATAAACTAATATTTAATAATATCTAAATAAACTAAAGAGTTACAAATTATTTTTAATCCAGAAATCAAGTCTTTCATTGAGTCTAATTACTGTTACGATTGGTCCTTAAGTATCAAAGTCTCAAGTTCAAGCCTTTAATTTGATAAAAATAGTATTGAAAGAGATAACCTTAATATAATCAAAATTTTGAAAGAAATTAATTTTCAACTATATCTAGGGATATTCTTGCTAATGCCATGGTACAAAAAGAAATTATTTACTTAGTGGACTAAACAAGTCAATCAACACTTTTTTTCTCCTAACTAGGCATGGTCCACACCATGGTGAGCTGATTTTATCCATCGAGTTAAGCTCATTATGACATTTTTATAGGTGCTTATATTTTTAAAAGATAAAAGTGTAATTTAATTAACATTTTAACATATAAAAATAAATAATATAATATTTTCATTCCTTTGAAAAAGGAATATAATTTATATTAATAACGTTAATATAAATAAATTAAATTATATATTTTAACATAAAAGGAAATAATAATATAATACTTTTATCAAAGAAGAATAACATATTTTACTCAATTTTATATTATCAATCTAAGATAAAAACTATGAATTTTTATGAATAAAAGTTATTAAAAACTTAAGAAGTAAAATTTACGATAAGAATTAGAATTCATACAGCATACATCGGAGATATTCAAGTTCAATAAAATCGCAACACTATGATTTTTAATATCTAATTTCAATAATTCTAATTTTTTTACATTAATTTCTAAATCATACAACGTGAATCATCCTTTTTTTTTTTATTTTTTTATAAATATGGCATGTCATAATTTATTTTGTTCGACATGTGTTGATTGTAATCATATTATTGTGACTTGTATATTTATGTATGTAATGCATATATATGAGTTGTATTGTTTAAATGTATATGATTTAAATTGGTGCCGATATATATATCTTGTATACTTTATATATTTGTGAAATGTTTGAAAGTATATTATAATGTATGGTGAAAGATAACTTGTATGTTTAAATAATGAAGGTTAGATCACTTAATAAAACTGTGTTTAAGTTATATTTTTAGATTTTTATTTTATTTTTAAGATTTATTTTGGTTTTTATTTTTTAAAATGATCATTTTAATTATTTATTTTTAAAATTTTGATTGATTTGATCCTTTTAAAATAATAATAATTTTTAATTTTGAGATATAATTTTAATTTTTTTTATTAATTCAAGACTTAAAATTTATCTTATTGAATTACTTATATATATATGATATCTATTAAACACAACTAAAATTCAAATATTTTTTTTTCTTAAATATGATGAAAATTTCATAAATATAAATTCAAAAAACAATTATAAGCTTCAAAAAAATATAATTTCATATTATTTTTTAATTATTTGTAAAATATATTTTTCACACAATTTTTACTATAATTATAACTCTTTTGAATTTAGATATCAACTGAAATTCATAATTTTATATAGGTGAATATAGTATTATAAATTTATGTCTTAAATCTATAAAAATTAATTTAAAATTATGTTACAAAATTTAAAATAATAATATATTTATAAGAATTAAATTGATTTAAATATAAAAGATAAATAATTATAATGAATATTTTAATCAATAAAGATCAAAATAAAATTTAAAAAATAAGATGAAAAATTAAAAATATAATTTACCCAAAAATTGTTGATACGGGAGAGTTGGTGACAAGGTAGGAAAAATGAAAATAAAATAAAATAAAAGTTTGAAAGATAAAAAAAATTGATCCGTAAACAAAACGACCTGTTGAAAGATAATAATTTTATAAGTTAGTAAGGTTGAGATATTTCGTATTTTTATTAAAAATAAAATAAAAATTAAATAATAAAAGTATATTAATCTAATTAGTATTATTATTAATTTATTAATTTTAAGTTTTTAAATTTAATTAAAAAATATATTTTTTTTAATTTTTTAAATAAAAGAGTATAATAATTAAAAAAAGTAAAGACCATTGATTAGTGAAAAGGTTATTCTAGTTTAGATGTGTCAAAAAGGAGTTGAATATGGCGGTAGCAAGAATAGTACTCCGTTGAACAGAAAACTTTTATAAAAGTACAAAAAAAAATTGGTCAGGAAACTGTTCTACCAGAAAGTGACATGTGTAAAGGTAAAACTTTCATTTTTTTTTATTATATGTAATAAATCTAATAGATAAATGTAAATTGATTTTAGGTTAATTATACTTTTAATTTTTTATTTTATTTGTTATATTCATTTTGTTTAAAATATTCATTTTGGTATTTTATCTCTTAAATTTAGATTAATTTAGTCTTTTTAAAATAATTATTATTTTTAATTTTGAGACATAATTTTGAGTATTTTTTTAATTGATTCAAGATTTCAAACTTGTCTCATTAAATTTATTTATATGAAAATTATTGAATGTAATTGAAGCTTAAATATATAAAAAAAAAGTGTTACAAACATGGTGAAATATATATACAAATGAGTCTAAAAGATAATTAAAAATTTTAAAAATATAATTTCATACTATTTTTTAATTCTCTATGAAATATATTTTTACACAATTTTTTACTATATTTATAGCTTTTATGGATTTGAGTATTAATTTTATTTCATAATTTTTGTATAACTAAATATTATAATGTTATAAGTATTATGACTTGAATCAACCAAAAATTAATTTAAAATTATGTTACAAAATTAAAAATTATTAATTTTAAAAGGATCAAATTGATCTAAATATAGAGGATAAAAAAGTTCAAAATATTTAACATATAAAAAACTAAAATGAATCTAAAATATAAAATAAATGATAAGAATATAATTTATCCTTGATTTTATAAAAATATAATGATTTAGTGCATTTTATTTTATTTATAATGATAAGTATCCTTTATGGGAAGCAATTTTGTACTTGTACCATTATGAGGACAAAATTTTTCTTCCAAATTTTTGATTCAACTGCAAAGTAGGTCTCAAACATAAATCTACTTATTAAACTGAAAAAACACTATTATATTGATTTGGACGTACTAGAACATTTTTAGATTGAAGTTTTCGAATTTAATTTTAAGTGCTCAATTGAATTTGTAAAATAATCTTCCTTTCACAAACTAAATTTGAAGATAAAATCAAGACAAAACTCAATTTAAAAAGGCAATTAAATTAAATTCCCATTTCAACCCATTTCAGCCCACACTCACTCACCATATATATATATCGGCTGAGAAGTGTCAAAAGCACAAGTGGAGGAAGGAATTTACCAAAGGATTAGCCTTATTAATTCAGTACTTTTATACTTCAACTTTTGGATCAATTCCCACGCTCTCTCCATTTGTTTTCTTTTCCAACTGATACAAATTTCAGTTTAACACTTTCAGATTGTTATTTAAGGTTAGTTGCTTTTTCTGTATTTTCTGTTTTTCTCCACCTTCTTAATAGATTATTATAACAGTTTTCTGTATTTTCTGGTTTCCTCTACCTTCTAAATAGATTATAACAGATTTGTTATATTCCATACAGGCACACACCTTATCAATAGAAGGCCTACACTGTTAGGGGTTATGGTTTTGGTATTTTTTTATGGGAGATATATATATTTTTTTTCAAGAAAAATATGATATTTTGTTTTTTTATGGTTATTCACTTATATATCTTTACAATAGTAAAATATTATCAATTTTTAGTCTAAATTCTTATTTTTTACTTTTGATTATCTCCTAAAAAAAACCTAATATACGTATTTTATAAGCTTTTATTTATTTTTTTGTTTTAATGACGTGAGATTCGATTTATATCCCAATAAACTTATATATATAGATGAGCATACTGGTGTTTTGCTATCACGCATGCAAGTTCTCTCTCTTTTTCACAGTGCAAGTTTCTTTTGGTTAACAACAATTCCGTTTAGCTTACAAAGTTGGGTAGTGGACATGGCTACGAGACCCCGCACCATTGAAGAGATATTCGTAGACTACAGGGCAAGAAGAACTGCTCTTATTCACGCTCTTACTCGTGGTACTACTCTTCTCATTCCTATCCCTCTCTCTTTTTTTGCTTCACCTTTTTCTTCTCCAACTTCTTGACTTTCTTGCCTTTTTCTTTATCCAGACGTTGATGAAGTTTTCAACCTCTGTGATTCAGGTAAAGGGTAATATGTGGTCTTTATATTCATTTATTTTTACATGTAAAGCAATTAGAGTTATTTATTTGTTTATTGTTGTTGGTATTCGTTTTGTTTTGCGATTTTGTAATTTTGTTTTTTCACTGGGGTGTGTGTGTGAATTGGGTTGCATGCATGTTGGTTGGTGATAACAACGTAAAGGTTTTGTGTTACATAATGAGTTCTTGCATGGTTCTTGTGCTCTTCAAATGATAACATTGGGTTTGCTCTTTGACATGTGAGTCTGGTAGTAGAGGGTTACATCCATGTTCACTTTGCTGCGATTTAGTTTCTGATAACTTGGTTTATTTCATGTAGCTTTGTAATCATTGGATAGTGTGTTGTGTTCTTCAATTAAATTTGAAGTCTTAGGCTTGTTTCTTTTCTTTTAAGATAAGGAAAACTTATGCCTCTATGGACATTCGGATGAGACCTGGGAAGTAACTCAGCCAACAAAGGAAGTTCAGAGGGATATCCCTGAACCAGTTATTGGAATCAATTTTGATAGGAAGAACCTGAACTTCATTGACTGGCTTTATCTGGTTGCCCTGTTCAGTGAGTCGTGGTTGTTTTCAGTGGCCTTTTACTATGGATATCTTCTTAACAAGAATGAAAGGTACAATTTAGCTTTGGTGATAATTCAAGTTCATTGTGATTCTCTATTCATTTAAAGGTTGTTTGCATACAAGTTTAAAAGTGTTTTTAAGGCCTCCTCTAGTAGAAATAAATTGTTATTTTCAATAAAAACACTTCAAACAAACTCTTAATATTATAAATTTACCTTTGCATGTCAATATATAAAACTTCTAATGCAGCATTTTGGCATATTGTTCCTTCTATACTGTTGATTTTCTTGATTATTTATGGCAGGGAACGTTTATTTAGTTTGATCAATGATCTTCCCACCATTCCTGAAGTTTTGGCTGGCTGGATACAAGTTGAGAACAAGCCCATCCTAGATAGTGGAAGCAACTCCCCACAAAGCACAGAGGTTAGAGTTTTCCTTTTCTAATTATTATTGTTTGGCTGGTACGTACACAAGTTGGTTCAAAGGCTTGATTTGGTAATGCTTGTGTTGTGCATAATGAAAGTTTCATAAAGCCTAAATATATGAAAGTGAACATATCAATATTATAATTTAATGTATAGTGGTTTTATTTTGTCTGACAAACATAATCACATGCAGCTTCTAGAACTAGAAATATGTCCTACCATGCTTATTGGGAGAGGTGAGAAGAGTTATTCATGAGCAAAATACGCAAAGTAATAGGAAATAAACCTCAAACTTGCACCTGGACTTATAAATATCTTTATCTTATTTGCCACATGATACAGTAGATAAATATAAACTAAGCCTTAGCATTTTTGGCTCCTGAATTGGATGTCATAGTTGAATTAAGTTCAGAAATTCTTTCATTGTCACATTTACTTTCACTAAGCATATGAAGAAGAGATAGAAAATTGAGAACAAAGAGCATTATATAAGCTGTTTTTCATGTTATGGTACAACTAGATAAGGCCTCTCATGTATGCAAAATCATGCCAGCAGACCACATTGCATATTTCACATATGATGCATTCTTGTACATTTCTTTGCAGGGATCTAGTGATGGACAAAATGTAACACATTCATTAAGCAAATTGTCCATCAAGCATAATGAGGCAGGGAAGCAGCCTGAGGAGGGCATGACCATCCACTGAAGGCAATGAAATGGGTATATGTGATGTGAGGATGGGTTTTGTTTAGTGGCTGAAAAGATCAGAATTGTAATATTGGTACTACTTACTACACAGAATCATAGACTGAGGTACGTTCATGTAATGGGCAAAGTATCAATGTCTAAAGACAAATTTCTTTCGGATTAAGTTTGTTTTCTCCACGATGAACCGTTGGTATGTCACACATTTATAGTATAGAATAGAATATATTTCCTTGAATTTACAATTTGTATTTTCGTTTACATATTTTTTTTCAGAAAATTAAAGGTGGTCAGAGTTTCATTGTTTAATGAAAAGTTTGTGAATGGGGTAATGCTTCACCAAGCATAGGGGGCTTTCAATAAAAATAAATAAAACCCATTTTTGTCGATTAATACTAGCAAAAATAAATATTGTTAGTTCTCCATGTACTTGTGTCAAGAAAAATATATGCACATGCACTAGTCCAATCTTTGTGCCTACAAAGCAACATATACTTTCTAGATTATAAGCGTGTTTATATTATCATCTAATTTTGTTCAATAACAAAATTATAAGAAAGGAAAATTATATCTAACATGACTTTAAAATTTATAAATAGAGTAAAACAATCACACGCAACATCGTTACAAGCACCCACATCATTTCACATTCATTTAAACTCCGATAAAATTTTTAATATAATGATAGGCATTTAAGTTGATTAAGAATAAAATAATAGGAATCGGTAATTTGTCTTAATGGATATAAGCGCATATATATTACAAGATGATTTACCATTAGGGATAGGAATAGAACAAATCTTGAACATGGTTTTATGACTTGAGTTCTTTAAAATTTGACCTCTTTAATAAGAAAGATTAAATTTAGACTTTTAAAAAAGCTTATTTATACAAAAGACTAGACTTTAAGTTTATAAAAAAAAATATGTTAAATTTGATAGATAAGTCTATTTATTTAATATAATATAATAAATAAAATAATATATATTATTAAAAATATAAATAAACAAATAAATTTATAAGACATAAATAAATTATCAATATTTAAAATATTTTTTATATAATTTTTTTTATTATAGGTTTATAGGCTTACAACTTGTGCATGAGTGTATAAGATTACACATGAATTATTCTTTTAATAAAAAATGATTCATTTTTTTCCTATATTTTTTTTAAAATTTAAATTTTAATAATATTGAATAAATTATATTTTAAAATTAATTTGGTAATTTTTAAAAAGTAAGTTTATTAGTCTAATTAACATTAATAATTTAAATAGACTTTTAAATAGACTAATAGATCATACTAGACTTTCAAAAAGGCTAGGTCAAATCTATTAAAAAAAACTTATAATAAATAATATATTAGACTTAGACTTTAATGTTATAGAACAATCATAACATATATATTTAAAGTCTGACCTGTACTATCTTAATTTCATCCTTGTTTATGACCCACAAACTTGCTCATTTCATGGATATATATAATTCAAATATTCATTGCACCTCCGATCCCCTCGTTAATTATTTCGTTCATTTTCTTACCACTCACTCTCACCACTTACTATCTTAATCAATTTTTTGCTAACATCAAAAATATAATTAATATGTATATAAAATATCTTTTTTATTTAATGTGAAAATTGATCACAAAATTTATAGTCAAGAGAGATTTTAGTAAAAGGGAATTTGGCATGTAATGAATGCAATTTTTTTTTAAAAGCAAAGGTATATTAATATATGGCACTAGGGGTACCATGAACCTTATATACAAATAAAAAGTTTGGTTAGATATAATCTAGTCAATTTGACTAGATTAGTGACTAACCATGCAAAAGAAATTACAATATGAAATCAACCCACGTGGGCCATAGGCTCATCTTCCCCTCAAAAGATACATTTCAGCCAACAATAAAGAACATGTATTGTCCCTAAGTCTCAGACTTTCTACAATATATAACAAAGTAACATTGTTGCATTCCGCTCCTTTACTAATAATCCATGTTTTCTCCTACATGTTTGATCAGTCCACCTTATTAATTTGTAGTGTCAATCTTCTGATGTTTAGATTCCCAAATTCCTCACCAATTTAATTTGTCACAATATTGTGATATGTGGCTAACCTAGAGTAAACATAGATCAAGGTTTGAGCTCCACTGAGCATAGTTATAATTGAAATTTTTATCCAACCTTAGCCATGTCCAAGTGACAAAAGCAATATCCTACACCAAATGTTTTGCATCAAATGTATGTCCCCTAAACACAACATTGTTTATGATCTGCCAAGTAGTCCAGATGATTGCACACCATAGTACTCTCCACTATTGGGCAACAACTTTTGATGGACTTTGGAAAGGTTCCTAAAAATAGTGTTGCAGGGTGTTGTTTGGTAGTACTGTTGTGATTTCCCCCCATTTATAACACTCATTCCATACGTTATGTATGATTGGACAAGAGAAAAATGTATGTGACATTGTTTCAGGCTCTTGATTACAGAAATTACACCTTGATTCTGTGACACTCTTACTACCCCAACACATACATTGTAATAATGTAATTAAATTAAGAAAAATAAACTTTCAAAGTTGGTAAAAGGGTTCACATAAAATCCTTTAGAAACATTCTTCGATATCCAAAATATTTTGAAAATGAAACTTGGAAAATAAAACATAAGAGGTTATAAAATGTTTTCAAAATAATAAGTACAACTCCATTTACAAAGAAATTCCATGTCCTAGAAGTCCTCTGCCCTGATGTCACAATATCAGAGCATACCCATAACTCAATTGTTGACATTCTAGATGTCACTCATAGCCGGATCTTCCTCACCTAAAACATCCACAAATTATACGGTGAGAAAAGAAAACATCTATATGAAAAGCACACAAGAAAAATTCACAATATTGTCTCATCATAACTCATTACTTATTAAAGTATTTACAAGCATTTCTATCTATCCTAATTCTATCAATCACGCAACATCTTCACATCACAATTCACAATCACATCAATCCATCACAAATCTCACGCCTGTAGCATCTCTTGCTCGAGGTCATGCCACCCCCGACATAAGCATTAATTGCCTCACACATTCCACCCTATTAGGGGTGGGTATACGGACCGGTCCGGCCCGTTTAAGGCCCGGTCCGTAAAACCCGCGTTTTATACGGGCCGGATAAGTTCGGTCCGTAAAATAAATGGACTTATTTTTTAAGTCCATATCCGGCCCGCCAAAATCCGCGGGCCTAAATAATGATTCAAAAAAATAAATTTTTTAAAAATAAAAATACATAAAATTAGAAGAAAAAAATATTTTTTATTTATAAGCTAAATTTTATCATACTAAAATTTATCAATAGTTAAAATGGTTTAAAATACTAAATATTAAAATATTAAAATAAAAATAATTACAAATACTTAAATAATAGTAGCAAACTTTCAATAATAAAAGCATCAAAATGTCATAAAAATCATTCAAATGACAAATATATACCAACTAAACATAATTTTAATGTCATAATAATTTTAAAAAATTAAATACACAACTTAATATTAAAATCATAACATTTAAAAATATTAAATGTGAAGTCCGCGGACTAGCCCGCGAGCCCGCGGATTAAATCCGCCAAGTCCGCGGACTTAACGGGCCGGGCTAAAAAATTAGACATAATCATACGGATTTGAAAAAAATGAGTCCGTTATCCGCGAAATCAGCGGGCTTACGGACTGGTCCGCGGACCCGGGTCCATCTACCCACCCCTACACCCTATGCCAAGGTCACGCCTGTAGCATCTCTTGCCCAAGGTCGTGCCACCCCCAACATAAGTATGAGAAATTACACATTCTACACTGTGCCAAGGTCACGCCTGTAACATCTCTTGCTCGAGGTCGTGCCACCCCCGACATAAGCATGAGGAATCACCCATCCCATACTATGCCAAGGTCATGCCTGTAGCATTTCTTGCCTAAGGTCGTGCTACCCCTGGTCACAAGTGTGAGGAACCACAATCACATTCTCATTCACATCCACATTCACATCTCAATTCCACAATACATACACAATCCACACAAAAGGTGGTTCACATACCCCTCAAGTAATTCACCATGAATCCTCACCTAGATCATCAATTTTATCAAATAATATAACAATAATATTCATAAATTAATATAATAATCAATAGAATTAGCAATTTAATATAATCTTAACATAAACGGTAAAATC